ATCCTGCTGGTGTAAATGCCCACTAGCTCACCTAACAACTACACTATTTCGACTTGTTGAGTAACGCTTGATAAAACCTGCAGCCTTTTTTTTTTTCTTTATATGTATTTGGGAACTGGTTTGAAAGATTGATGTCTTCAGTAAAAACCAAGGCACTTGGCGCTGGCAGACACACAACAAAGGTCACATTTGCTGACACTGATAAAAATATAAACGAAATATAAAACGACAACATTTAAGCTCCTGTTTTTTTTTTACCAGCTGCGACAACATGTGACTGGTATTGTTTTCACTGTATGATTCTGTCTGTTTGTCATCAAGGAAAAATGTGTGGTGATGCCTAATGTAGGGGGGACTACCACAGAAGAGGTGGTTTAGCGGGTGTTTCGTTTTTTGTGGTTAGCATCACAACCGTGCAAAATTAACGGGTGTTACACCTGTTAACACCTGTTAACTTTGTACGGTTTTCACTGAGATCAAATTTGAAGATGGATGTGGGCCAAACAAGCAGCAACCACCAATGCTGAAAAATTAACCCAACACTGAAGTGCTAAAAACTGCAGTTCTTCAAATGACCACTAGTGTCTGGCTCCAACAGTGAGTCAATCCTCATAGACTCCCATGTTAAAATGCCCAACTTTACAGCAGAAATAAACATGTTTACAGCCTGGTACAAAAAAAAGGTTTTGGTCTAATTTACCCCTTCATGATAACTGTATGGGTGTGATTTTTTTTTTATAAGTCACTCATTTAAATTTGATTAAAGCTCAAAGTTCTGCATAATTGAGGGAGTGGACGCCTTGAGTGACAGGTGGGTGAGTGTATGCTTGCCACAAACCGGCATGCACAAGTCTCGGCTCCACACATGCCCCACCTCTTTGCCAACTTTTGGATTAGGCGGCATTTAGGTGGAGTCAGACACTGCCAAGATGGCAATGGTGGAGCAGCTCACTCTGAGCTTCAAAACCACTCTATAGGTGGCGTCACAGAGGCTACGTCCATCTTTATTTACAGTCTACTAATACTGTTTGTGCTGGTCTCTAGTTCTATTTGCTATTAATATATATAATACTACAAAGATATACTGTACGGTGTACTGTCAGTCCATGTGGACTGGGCAGTTGTATGTTTATGACACAAAGAAACGATATCACACTATATTGTGTCTGGTATTACTACACTAATACTATGTTATACTTCATTGCAGCTGTACTAGAAATCTATGACATTGTGTATATTTGGCCACACTGAAATGGATTCAGAAAATATAATGGACCCAGGCAGTATCATGACTAAAAATGTCAAATTTCATCATTATTATAAATAATTTTTAAATATGATGATATTTTGAATGTTGTGATTTCAAGACAACAGGGGTGGTACAGTGGTGCAGTGGTTAGCACTGTTGTCTCAAAGTAAGAAGGTTCTGGGTTCTAACCTGCTGCTGTCCTTGGCCTTTCTGTGTGGAGTTTCCATGTTCTCGTACTCCAGCTTCCTCCCAGATGCAGGTTTAAGTTAACTGGCGACTCTAAATTGCCCATAGGTGTGCATGTGAGCATGAAGGTTGTTTGTCTCAATATGTCAGCCTTGTGATAAACTGGCGACCTGTCCAGGGTGTACCTCACCCTCATTCAATGTCAGCTGGGATTGGCTCCAACCCTAAAAGGATAAGCGGTGTGGCTAATGAAAAAAAAATGATTTCAACACTGTAGGATATGGAGGAAAGCTGAAACACCCAAATCTAAGTGAACTCATATGCTCAGCGCTAAAAGCCCATTTGTGCCCCCCCCCCCAAAAAAGGGTTAACGTAATCTTTTCTGACAAATTCAATATTGGGTGGCCCAATTTTCTGTATGGATATTAAACCAAATGAATGAATTTTTCTTAATAGTTGCAGTAACTGAGGAAATTAAGTGTGCAGCTCTGAATGTAATACCCTCTCGCTTGGCACATCTAATTATACAAATACTGTTCATTTGCAGGGTGTAGGCACATGCATAGTTTGCAGGCTCTGGTGAAAGTCACAGCATGACCACTTCCTGAAGTCTTTTTTTTCTGTTCAGTGTGCTCAGGGCTTTTTCAGGTTCTAATTTCAGTGTTAGTGAAATAAATTGCCGAGAATTTATGCCTTCTATTTTATCACTAGGACAAAGAAGTCCTCTCCTTGCCCAAAGGGAAACAAGTCAAGGACAATCAGTGTCAGAAAAACTGATGCAACCCAAATAAAGCTAAAAAAATAACTCTTCAAAGTAAAATTAGGGCCAAAAACTGTAGTACCTTTAAAAGCATTACCAGAAATGTCAGTCCACAGTGGTGAGAGATTGCTCAGTCAAACATCAATTCTTCCTCTTGAATCTGGTTTCAGATTTTTATTCATAATTGAGGGCACTGACTCCAAACAGTGAAACTACTGACCTAGATGAATATCACCAGCGTGAGATATGCGTGTTGTTTTGAAGCTAAGTGCTGCAAAACCCCAGGTACTACAGTTCAGCTCTGAGAAAGAATATAAGAAGGCAGCTGCATGGGGCTCAATAGAAAAGCAGGATCATACGTCTATATCTTTATATGAAATCAGAGCAGTAGAAGGGACAGTAATTCTACTTTTATCACTAGGTCTCTTAAAGACGTGTGTGGTGTATATTTTGTAGTGTATTTTAATTAAAATCTTACAAAAAACATAAAAAATATTGAAGATGTAAAAAATCAAAGAAAATAGTGCTGTATTGTTTTTCCTTCTTTTTTAATCACATACTATATCAACAAATTGTTGCCCTGTAAAGTTCTATACGGTAAATGTGTTGGCGAACTATTGATTATTTACACATTCGGCAGACAGGGAGCAACATTAGCATTTATTTGGAGTCATGGTTTTGGATAACCTGACAAAGGTAAATCCAATATAAGCGGCAATCTCCAGGGCTGAAAAATTAAGCCAACATGGAAGTACCAAAACCTGCAGTTCTTCAAATGATCATTTGAGTCTGGCTCCAGCGAGCCAATCCCCATAAACTCCCATGTTAAAATGCACAGCTTTACAGCAGAAATAAACATGTTTACAGCCTGCTACAAAAAACAGTTTTGGTCTCTAATTCCTCCTTCATGACAACTGTACAGGGGTGAATTTTTTTATAACTCACACTTTATTAAGACTTAAAGGAATAGTTTGGGTTTTTTGATGTGGGGTTGTGTGAGGCAGTCATATATAGTCGATGCATTACCTACAGTAGATTATGATCAGTGCGATCCCGGTTAAGAAACACGATGGGGGCACCAGCGGAGTGGCAGAGCAATGTGTTGCTGCGCAAGGGTCCATGAGAAAAAATATGTTTTCTACACCGTATTGCTATGCACAAGCACGGATTGTTTTGATGGCCGTTTTTAAAAGTGTCTAAAACATGTTTTCTCTGCATAATTGAGGGCGTGCTGCTCTCTGGTCCACACACGCCCCACCTCCTTGCCCATTTTTGAATTAGCTGGGAGTGAGACGGAGTCAGGCATTGCCAGGTTGGCGATGGTAGTGCAGCTCACTCTGAGCTTCAAAACTGCTCTTCAGAAACCAATGGGTGACATCACAGAGGCTACATCCACAGTCCAAAAGTAACCCTACTTTTAGCTTTGTTTTGGTCTCCACCTAGTCCTGACAGATACATCTGGTATGTTAGCTGCTGAATGCCCCACTGTTACCCCCACCCGATCCCCCTCTGTCTGTGCTTGGTAAGTACTTAAAATCCCCTCTTTTTCTGCTTCTGGATACGCAGTTGAAAGCAGTGAAACTAAACCAAAAAAGTAAAGTTGCTAGCTACTATTAAACTGAAACAGTGGAAGACATGAAGACATGAAGACACTGTGTAAAACTAATAGGAGCTGCAGAGCTGGTCATAAATAGCTCTGTGTGTTTGTGGGTTGTGAGCTCTTTTACATTACCTAAAGTGATTTGATCCATTGTTTATATAAAATATTGATTAGTGCAGCCCTAATATGAGGATAGCACTAATAGTGATAATCTCTGCATAGCTACTCTGGTAAAATTTCATCAGACCTGTGCTCACTCTGCTGGAGAAGTTGCAGATTCCACTGACAACAACACCATTTCCCACTACTGCATTAACACTACAAAGAAGCCAAAAGACAAAATCTCTTCAGCGTCAAGCGTCAGAATGCTCCAAGTTGCGGGTGAAATAATACAAGTGATGGTTTTGGCTTCATCCTGCGATGGCTCAGGTTGCACAACAAGTATAATGATACCCCCCGCTGCTGTGCCTGGACCATGTTTTCAGCGCAGACACATTATAGGAAATGTAAGCATTTAGTGGAATGTCACTCACAAGGTTATTGCCTCTCTCCCCCTGCTTGCTGTGCATCTACATGGTGCTGACCAAGCTCCGAAACACAATCTACCATAAAAAACACCACCAGCTGCCATTTTCAGGCAGGCTCCCTGTGCCGCCAGGGAATTGCCACAGAGATATCAAAGGATCTGTGGTGCAAATGAGTTGCTGGGATCTCCTTTACTCTCCTAATGATTTCTTAAGCCGTGCACCATATTATAAATCATCATCTTCATCCGTAGTGGCTTAAATCTTATCATTAATAAAGTTAACCTCGCTCATATCTGAGGTGTTGGCATATTCATCAACCACAGTGGCGGCTCCCTGACTCTAACTCTACATCATAGCTCAGGCTGAAAATAGATAGGCTTTTTTCTATTAGAAATGGATGCTCAATTAAGCAGTTGCGCTTTGAAGCCTGTCTTTTCGTTGAATGGTGCGTAATCTCTCTGCAGCATTGATGTCCAGAAAACGCTGTTCTTTAACAAATCAATAGCAATGAACGTTATCTGTACCCTCTTTGATTTCTGTGGAAGCAGCAATGAAGATTCACAAGCAATTAAGCAACAATGGATTTTCACCATGTGATGCTGATGTGGAGCCAAAGCAGGTAGACAGCTGAGCTTCTTATGCTTGCAGGGGGAATGTAACACTGATGTGGTAATTTACCTGTACTGTGGAGGAGGGCTCCCTTCTGCCTCGCACACGATGGTAGCCTGCTGGTCTGGGGAGTTGATTGGTAAAATGAGGTCACTTGGCGCCGTCCTCCATCTTGGCCCTTGAAATATGACATCCTCTGTACAGGCTGGGGGAACGGGGAGAAAGTCTATGGTAGTACAAGGCAGAAAAATTGTCTCTTTGACCTTAAGAGAAAATAATGGAAGAATTCAACGAAAGCATCAGATAGATACTGTGAGGACAAATAGTTAATCTTGCTGAAATACGGCAACTTTCTGACACTCATTGTATATTACTTTTTCAATATATAGTATATTTTCTCCTAGTCCCTGAACAGTGTTGCTTTTTCAAAAGAAAATCAAAGCAATACATGAGGACAGTCCCCGTGATTTGCTGCGCATTATTGAAACAAAATTCCATTTACCCTTGTTAGGCTGCTAAATGCTAATTCATTTTTAGTGTCTATTGCACCGTATGCTGCTGTATTTTTCTGAGGACCTTAACACTTAAAATAGTAGAGAAAAACCATGTTCAGTTGTTAGTATTTACTCCAATTTAGCACACGGGGCCTGTTTTTCCATAGTACCAGGCCTCTCTCTGTCACTTTATCATCATGATAAATCATCATATTGTAGATATGATTAATCTCCCTCCTTCAAAACTCCCATGTAAAAATGCAAGGAAACAAAAATACTGCAAATAAGTCATATAATGCTTTTATCATTGTGTTCGTGTATACCAAGCTAAGCGGTTTGAGATGCTTTGATGCAATTGCACAGAGCTCATATATACTGAAAATGATGCAACAAAACTGAGGTGTTCAGTATTAATAACTTGCCAGGAACAGCGCATAATGATAGCTATTAATTGTTCAGAACTCAGTGTTGAGCACTCAAGCTGACTATTGATGTAGAAAGCCAGTTTTCACATATTTCCTCAGTAATTAATGATTCCTTTTAAGTGACATGTTTGATAAATAAAGCAGAGTGATCTATTTTCAGATCATCCATGTCATACTATGCACGCACCGGTTAATTGAGGCCATAAGGAGCAGCAGCTTAAAAGGAAAAGATGTGGAACACAATCTGGTACTAAATGAAAGCAGAGTCAACAGACGGTCAGAGTAGGTCTAATTAATATCCTACTGCTAACAGATTGCAGCATGTGGCTAGCAGTTCTACATGTGGTTTTAACCGGTAATAATATGTCAAGGAATCAGCACATATTTCACTGTGACAGGCTGAGAAATGAGATAGGACAATGAATCACAGCAACTCTTAATGCTGAGAAATTTGCTTTTAGCTTAAAACCAAACTACAGCAAAAAAAATGTTGAATTTAGGATAAATCTGAAACAGAGTCACATTTCAAAGGATTGTTTTAGAATGATATTTTAATAAATGATCAAACACTGCTCCCACATCAAATTCATTCACCTTATACTTTGGTTTAGCAGCCTCTCCCTAATGTGAATTTGAATAAAATGTCATGCCGGCTAACATCTAAGGTGTCGGGATATAGAGCCACTGACAACAAGGCACTTCAGATGTCATAATGATTGTTATCAGCTGTAGTGATTTTGGAGGGCTTCAGAGCGTATGATCACAACCCTGTATAAGAACCAGCACCTATAGGCTGCAACCAAGGCTCTGTTAAAAGCTCTTGTCTGCCAGGAAGGTGAGATTGCTTGGATCTTGCTCCCATGAGTACTGTGTGTGAATTACCCATGAGCCCATTTGAATAACATTCATTGGGATTTACAATGTCATTTGAACAAGGGTTGACATTCTGGTAGAGAAGCGCTTCTCTTGCCCAAATCCCAGGTGGCCACACAAGGGCAGAATAAGGGGTGGTGGCAAGTAGATTGTGCTAAAATGCAGGGCTGGATTCATTGCATGGATCCTGATAATGATCTGGACAAGCCATAAACAGGAATAGGATTGGACTCCCAGTTGTCCCTGACAGTGTACTGTAAATGCGCTGCAGGACACTGCTCTAGGGAACGGTGAAGGACATCACGCTGGAACACTGTACATGTAATGACTGCAACTTAATCAGTGTAACCTTTTTTGGTCAAGCAGATTTTCTGAGGTTATTTACAACTGTTCTGATTCTGTCTCTCCCTCACTAAGGGATGAAACTCTATATTGTATATAAACTCTGCTTGCTAAGAATAAGATGCTATTTCTAACCTCTAACCTTACAGACATGCATTTAGCCTGAGACTATGGAACAGCGCATCATTCTGATATTAATATGCATTAAAAAACACAAATTTATTAGGACAGATGTTGCAATGACCTGAACCATGACAACAAGTGCAGCAAAACTCAAATATAATATGTGTTAAAATATCTTACCTGCAAGGCATCCAGTGATTGATAGCAGAACAATTTGTTTCCATGGAAACATCATCTTTAGTTGCCAAGGGCTAATAAGACTCTCATCCAATTGGTTGTGAATGGAATGCTCTCCCTTGAATGCGAGAATTTTAATCTGAAGGGAAAGTAATTATGGATGTGATTAAAATATGACATTTTGATCCAAATACGACAAGCATTAAACAGAAAAAACATGATTATAGCACTGCTAAGTTACATAATTGGCTCTTATTATTTTTGGAGTTACTGCAAGTGAAGAGAAAGTGAATCTTGAGGAAGCAAGAGGCATCTGGGGGGGTGAAACAGCAGCAGACAAAAACCTGAGGACACAATCCGGCAGTATGATTTTCAGGTGGCACAGAAGAAGAAACAGCTGCTAAATGGGTATGTTTTCTTTTACTGTGCGAGTTGCTCATCCTGCCTAACAAGCTCAATTCTACAGCTTTAAAGAGGAGTCAGGAAGGAAATGATTGACCTCAAAAGATACTTCTCTCACTCCATATTTGACTATTAATAGGGGCTGGCAGACTGTGTACCAGCACTCCACAAAATGCCACTTCACACTTTAACAAAGGGTTTGGTGGATGACTGAATGTAAGCAAACTGACTGTTTTCATTTTCATATACATGCATCATATTCCCTTAGATCAACAGAAAATACAAGAGGGCCACATACTAAGACAATAAAGATGGGACATTTTACTGTCAGCTATTAGCGTTGACTGACAATAATATGCACAGTAAGACGATATACGCACTTATATCATTTCTACTAAGGTACTTATCCCTTTAAAGGGATTGGTTTACTTGCCATGGGAAGCACTACGCAGACTGTGAAAACAGCTGTACGTCCCTTGTGGCTCAGGAGAAGCTTTGTCACAACTGAGACAATGACTCTGACTATGTCGTTAGCGTTACTGTCATCAGGAGAAAACTATGTTGGGCAGCATTCCTGAGTAAGGCATTTAGAGTGCTATGATTACAAGTGGTGTAAGTGGTGCATTTTGAAATGTACTAATCACATCATAGTTACTTATCTCAGTAATAATGTTACTTTGACATCTTTGAGGTGAGCTTGTTTAACCAAGATTTGGACTGGACAGCTGATGCAATTTTGAGACTGGTCCAGGGCACGTTAGCTTATTGCAGGGACTGAAAACAGGGAGGCAAGCTAGCCTGTGCCAAAAGATGAGAGGAATCTACAAACTGTAGCTCCAGAGTCGTCTCTTTACATTTTGAGTTTTCTGAGCAAGTTAGCAGTTAGCATTGGTTTTGTTCAGAGTTATGTTCAGAAGGTGCACAAGCCATGTAACTTGCGACATGTGCTACATGCACTGACTGGGGCTAAGCTAACTGTTTATCAGTAATTGTTGTTAAATACTAGGCTTTCTGACCCATACTACACAAAATGGAGGAAACTAGTGAGCTGTCTTACATCATGACTCTAACCCATCTGCGATGTTGCTTTAGACACATAAACAGAAATAGTGAGGACGTTAGCTTACTTCTAACTGCCTGATACAGTTGTAACATTAGCTTGTCACTGAAGTGGAGCAGCAGAGCCAAATGCATGGAACTATAATAAAAACGTATACTATTAGCCTATATTGATTGTGTTCACATTAATTCAAATGAATCATATGTTGAAAAAGTGACAGCCCAGGCATATTGTTAAAACACAGCATCTCATTCTACATTTTAAATAAAAAAGTGTGGGGATGTTGACAGATCTTACTTTCGCTGATGAGTAGTTAGTAATGTAATTGCTTGAGAGCAATTGTAACAGCTTGTGTAATTAAGTTGATGGCAACATAATGTTACATGTCTGTTTTCAATAGTGACCGGCTACAGTCACAGCATGAAATTGTTAGCTGACTTGCTCTTACCCTTATTTTGAATTTGTTCAGCAAATGTTGCTATCGCTAACTATATGGTTGTGGTTACATTGGTTTTTTTAGTTGGTTCTTATGTACACGGAAACCAGTTAAGATTCTTGTTATGTGTTCAGTGGTCGCTTTCACTGTGCTTCATAACACCATCCTGACTGAGAACGTTTTGGTCTGAGATGCTGGTGCAACATCTAGTGGCCGTGACGATCATTTACAGAACCTTTAAGAATAATACGTAATGAGCATTAAATTAATAACAAATTTCAAGTAACTTTCCCAACAATGCTTATTGCTAATGACACAAAGCCTTTTTTACAAACTGCGAGTGTGGAGTCAAAAAGCATTATGGGAATTGTAGGATCTAGTGGTGGGATCTAGAGTTTGATCCACACAAAGAACTAAAAGTCAGCAAATCTCTGCCTCTGCCGCACCAATTAAAAAAAACATCTGTTTCTTGTGAGTCTTCCAACTTCACTGAAACATTATATTACATTTCAGGAGTATCCCTTTAATGTGCTGTCTCTGATTATCATAGGCTGTTGTTTGCTGAGAAGGAATGCTTTATAGTATGGTTCACTTTTTGTGGGATATTTAACTCATTGGGTTACAGACAAACAGACATTCTTTATATTACAATATTAGTGTATATCATGATTTAAGATATTATATTTTGATTTTATTCCTTACCACTCACCGCCATTACCTATTATTTTCATAAGGACTGATTTGCACCATCAGATATCCCTTCTAACTGGTGATCAATGACCTAAATGGCCATTAAAACTTTTCTAATGTGGAAGTGCAACTGAGAGCTTTAAGTCTGTAATTGTAGTATCAGTGGCACAGGAGGGGCTTTGCTCAAGCTCTGACCTACATCACAGTAAGTGGAAAACTGATACGCCTCTCAGGATTAAGAATTCAACCCAGCCCCTCATCCTTACAACACAACCCTGTTGTGCGGATTAACCCAGGGCTATCTTTGGAATTCTTCAAACAGACCTAAATACTAACCACTCACTTGTTTCACCAACTTGTAATTGTAGAAACGTGGTGGTGGTTTCATGTGAAAAGCATGGCTACATAATCTCATGGAGGAGTATGAAGCACAGTGGAATTTACAAGGAGGATGGATCATCCCATTTGCCTGATCATAACTTAATGGCCAGTGTCGGCTTAGCTCAACTGTCCTGGTGCCAGTAATTGTTCCTCGTCTGGTGTAATTGCCGGCACAGGGAGATTCAGAGTGGATTTCCTTGTGTCTTTCAAAATTTAGGGGGCGTTTTGCCACTCTAAAAACCCATCACATTGGATTACACGGTGTGAGAATCTACTGGAGCAAAAAAATAAAATAAAATGTGTGCTGCATTTTTCACTGAGTGCAGTATTAACCGCCATCCGCTTTCTAGAGGATCCGACTTCGTCACCCCAACCCATCAGTCCAAACAGCTCCAAGATCATGAGAGGAAAAGCTCCTCAAAAAGACTTTTGTTTGCAAGTTGGGTGTTGCACAGTTCATGGCTCAGTTGTTTGTCCTTGAGAATGGCTTCTTTCTGCAGCCGATAATACCTGCAGTGATTTCATTTTCTTTGTGTATTTGTTTCTGAATGAATGGTTCATTAAAAGGCACAGTATATGCCAGTTTTTCCAGCCTTTGTGTAAGAAGGGTGTGTCACCCTGCCTTGAAGAATTTCATTTTCAGTGGACAGCTTTTAAGTGGCACTGTGTGGAGAGCTGAAGTGTCTCACGGTGCCATTTCAGAGCCTTTAATAAAGTTAGGGAATACGCTGAGCACTTGTCTTTTTTCACTAGCGTTTTAACCAGAGTTTTACGCCTCCGCCAACAAGTCAAATTGCAGTTTACATCTATGTCTGTCCAGATCCATATGACATATAAGACTCTTGAGGGCTTTTAAGAAGATGTATTAAGCGTATTTTTATTCTTGAGTTATGGCCAAGAACATGTTTTGTGAGGTCACAGCAACTTTGACCTTTAACCTTTGAGCACCAAATTCATATCAGTCCATCCTTGAGTCCAAGTGAATGTTTGTGTCAAATGTGAAGACATTCCCTCAAGGCGCTACTGAGCTATCGCATTCACTTCACAAGACTGAGACGGAAAACCTGAAAACATGATGCCCCCGGCCACAGCTGTCATGAGCACGGAGGCATAAAAACTAAAGAAAATAAATAAATAATCGTATCACTCTTGAGCATCAAAAAAGCTCCAGTGTCAAATCTTGCAGAGCTGAATATCAGCTAAAGATTGAGTAAATAAAAAAAAAAAAAAAAATAAAAAAAAAAAAAAAAATAAAAAAAAAAAAAGAAATAAAGAAATAAAAAGTTTTTTCTGGACACAAAGAAAAGAATTCTGGGCTTTGTGGCGATCAAGGTGAGGTGGCATTTTCTTTCTTGGACTTTCTCAACTGAAATAATGAGCAAAAGATTGCTCTGCCAAATGTAATGAGGCATCACACTCACCTCACCTCCACAGAATCTAAGCCTAATGGAAGTCATTGGCTAAACACATTCCAGAGTAAATGAGATGACTTCTTGGTTAGTGGGGCTGTTGTTTGGCACATAATTGATAGGAGAGGTGGTTAAAGGCACCCATTTCCCCCCTGAGGGCAACATAATTGCAAAAGAATCTAATAAGGGAGGGACGAAAGGAGAGAGTTTCTACCTTATGGGTGTGCATGCTCAAGGTCTGTATTCAGATCACATGCGGCACATAAGCAATAGAGCTGGGAGATCCATATGTATCAGATCATGCAAAAAAAAAAAAGAAAAAAAAGAAAAAGAAAATGAACACCAGTGGCACTATGTGTATGAATTCACCACAGACTGTGATGCATTCATTTCCATTTAGTTAATGTCTTTATGACTATCTGATGCCATCTCCATTAAATCATTCAGCAGGAGAACCTGGGAGACCAGAATCCGCCACCAGGGACGGACTCAATCTGAATGCACAGCTGCTCTGTGCTTTTGCCAATGAATGAAGAATTCACAATCAACTGCGCACTGATTCCTCCTAATTTACTCTGACTGACTGAAGACCTGCGCAAGTCTATTTCACGTGAGCCGGGGAGGGTAATAAATGAATAAGTAAATAACTGAAGTGATTAACAAATAAACGCAGAGCTTAATGTCTGTGTTTCACGGCTCAGGTTTGCAGCAAAACAGTTGCGAAATGAAAAGGAGAAGGAGCAAAGGAGGAGTAATTGTTTGGCACTGATTGCGCCACAACACCACAATAGGCCCATCGAAGGTGATTGAGTAACGCTTCCCATGGCAAATTATGCATTAAGATTTCAAGTAAAAAAAAAAAAAAAAAAAAGGTATTTCATGTAATTGCCCCTCTACAAACCCAATCTCAACAGCTGTTATATTAACATTCATGAAAGAATTGGTTGAATGCATGTTCTCTCTTGGGATTTCAGTTCCGAGCAGAGCCTTGCAGGCTCAAAGAAAAATAAAGTAGCCACTTCACATGTGTGAATGTCATGTCACACTGTGCATGTATGATGAATAAGACTGTATGATTAGAAGTGTGGCTGAGGTCAGCTTTGAATGACAACTTTATAACCATGAATGTAAGCGAGAGCACAGACATTTTTGCACTTCACAAAATAAAATAAATAATGACTGTAATTTTATATTTACTTGACTTTTGTTTTTTACATATCAAATCTCTGTTTACCACAGTACAACTAAACACCAGTGCAGGACACACTGCAGACATTATACAGCTGTGTATTTTCATGCGAAAAACCATTGAATCCCTGGAAGACAGCAGCAGGACGCCCCCAGTGACTCCCCTGCAATGTTAAACGCGGCTGCATCCCTCAGCTGCTGCCTAACGCAGGGGCAGGAGAGTAAGTGCACTTAAAAGAGAGGGGAGCAGCGATCCATTTCTCAACCCCATCATCAGCCAGGCACATCCCCAGACCCTCATCCTAGATACAGCTGCAAACACATGACTGGAGGTCAAGGATGAGGAGCAGGAGACACTCAGGAAAGCTCTTTACATTTTTTTTTTTTTCATTTTCATATGACATTCAATCCATTTCAGAGCTTTTCTGGAAGAGAAACTGGCTGCACAATGTAAATGCCTCTCTGGTTCAATCATAGCAAATGGTACTACAGTACAAACTCATCCCTGCACTGCCACGGTGGATATTGCTGCGTTATAGAATAATTGACTGCTTGGCTTCAAAGACGTGTTTCACCTCTCATTTGGCTACTGCCTGTTATTCTCAAAATATGTGCAAAGGGTCTATAAATAAACATGAATAGGGGGGAGAACGATTACAATCCCTGCTGAATACCAGGATACTTTGTAGATGAAGCAGGCTGAGCATTTTCCTCTCACTGTTGAGTCTGTCCTTTTGTAGTCTGGATGGACACAAAAAAGGAGCAACCACTGGTGGCCAAATATTTGGTTTTCCAGATAAATGAGAGTAAGCCTGAGCTGTTAGGATCATTTCTTCTGTAGGCATGCAACTATCATAATCCTGTGAGAATTTTTTTTTTTTTTTTTTTTTTGAAAAAAAAGCTTTTCAAATCAGAATATTGTGATGTAAGAGGACATTCAGATACAATTAAATGAGCATTTAGAAAATCCGCATGAGCTCAGGCTTTTTTCCCTCTGCAGACTCAAATAATTGCCTTAAACAAGTTAGACAGAGAGGGAGAGAGAGAGCTTTTCTCCAGGCGGACAGTCCTGCTGCCGTGGCTCTGTGTTACTGAGCACAGCGGCACCATATGGACTTTGTCCTCGATGAGGGAAATGAGCCCCAACAGTAGAAATCCCAGTAGGACCATCTAAACCATTTGAGGCTCGTCTAGAAACGCAATCATCAGCATCGTGCATGTGCGACCACGATCAGCACGCCGTGCACTCTGTCTCAGAAAAGAAGATAAAGACATCCATGACACACATGGATGAGGCTTTTGAGGTTATTATATTATTTTCTAACTTGTATTTTTTCCTGCAAAGCAAATGCAAACTTAGCACAACACAGCTCTTTATATATTCAAATTAAAAAAGGCAAGAAAATAAGGTGTAAAGGAGGTGTGATGATCTCTCTCCGGATACTCACTTGTTCTAGGACGCAATTTTTTTCCTCTTCATTAAACTGCTTTGATTGTAATCCCACTGTCCGTCAGATGCTGTTGTTTCTGGATCTAGTGAGCGGATAACATTTCTCACAGCAACTCTTGTCCTTTTCAGGAGCCAAAAGAAGAAGAGGCTGCTCTGTGCTCCAGCACTGCTTTTTTTTTTTTTTTTTTTTTTTTTTTTTTTTTTGCGCTCTGCACTTAATTCTGCTCCGTCTAAGTGCGTCTCTCGGTTCTTTGAGGACGAGACTAAAACAGTGTTGTCTATACCTCGGTAAATTCCACAGTCAGTGAGAGAATTCAGTGGCAGAGGGGTGATGCGCTGCTGCACGCTGGGACGTTCCTCGACCTCCTCAGATTACACTCCGCCAAGATGCTGCCAAGAAGCAGAGAGGACAGCGGTGCCTCTGAGCGGACACTCACATCGTGCGCATCCCCGGGCTCTGCTCTCTTTGTGCGCAGGAAGAAGCGCCCACTGGTGACGCGTGAAAACACCCATCGCGGCACAGTAATACGCCACCAGCCTATGGGCACCTGCCATTCCTCTGCTTTAAGTGAGTGCACATTTGAGCTCGGGATATTTGTCGTTAGGATTTCCACAAGTATTGTAGGGGGAGTAAAAAAAAAAAAACGCTTTGTTTAAAGAAAAATAAAAGAAGCCCCTCACAGAACATTAAGAAAATGAACTAAGTGTGACCATTTATCACCACAACCAAACAGCCTCAAATCTGATCTCAGTAAATAGCGTGTTCGAGGTGAATTGGCGCGGGGGGGATTTTGCGGTAGGTTTGGCTTCTGTTGACCAACCGCTGCTGATCAATACAAGCAGAGGAGAAGATGGATTTTATTTTGTGTTCTTAAAAAAGTGATGTGCATTAGTGAAACGGGCCCTTTTTTTTAATGAGGTTTACAGATCGAGTATAATAATCAACAGCCGTCTTTATGTGGTGTGGAATGAGCCCACATGCAGCGCTTTTCAGACAGAGCCTGTGTGGAGTGTGTGGAGTGAGAGAGGATGTCATCCTCAGACACAACTGCACAAGTACAGTACAAACTAGATGTGCGGTAGAGGACCACACAGACAGGTGTTTTAGTGCCTTTCGGTCTATTAATACGATGTCACCTAATTTAAATTTCATTGTTTTCATGATGCAACCATCCGAAATCATACAGTGTTTTGGGGTGTGTTTTTTTTTTCTTCCCCTCAGCTCTTTTCAAAGTCTTAGCTCTGCAAGGGGATTCGATCACATGCTTATTATAAACACAGAAGCGAATAAAATGGGATTCTTGTTACTATACACACCTGAGGAACTACATTCTTGTCTTGGCTGAGCACATGGACACATGCTCCAAGAATATGTAATGTGATCTTAAAGCTGTAGTTAGGACCTCTTTGTTTAAAGCTGCACTGATCATTAGGGAATTAAATATGTGTAAAGACACAGACGATTGTAGTGACTCACCTGACTCTGTGGTTTCTTTCTCTCTCATTGTTCTGGTTTTATGGACCAGAGCTTTTCTGTTTGGTTCAAAGACCAGCATCTGGTGCAGCAGTGAGAGCTGAGGGTAAATAGTCGATGAGAAGAGTTTTAGTCGACCGAGTTTTGATTGGTCGGTTGGTCGCAAGAAAAAAAAAAAAAAAAAATCAAACTCCAAAGGAAGTGAAGACAAACAGTCATTCGGTCAGATATTGTTTACACGGCTGGTCCCTGTGGTTATCAGATAGTAATGTAACCGACCGTCTTGGGTTCACCTAAATGGTCGTATTTAGTAATGCAATAAAAAATGAGCCACAGAGACACAGCACAATGAACAACAGAAACAGCTTCTTTATTTTTACAGCCTTACAGCAGTCTCACGGCAACTCTTCGGCCAGGAACACACTGGATGACGCATCCAGTGTGTGCATGGCGGCTGCAGAACGTCTTGGTTTCCATTTCAGCGCCCACGATAACGGGTCAGAGCATTAGATCGTTAAGAAATTAGTTTATAATTGAAAGAAATCCAACATTCCAGTAACCTGTAAACTCTATGTAGGGGGATAGAGCTGCAGCGGCAGAGATGAGGCCAGTGTGAATGCATACACATGCTTCTCCGCAGCAGTTTCAGCCACAGCAGCTGAAACGCACGTGCGACACAGGCAGTGTGTTCCTGGCATTATGGGACAAACTACCTCAAATTGCTAGCATTGTTAGAAGAGTTTAATATTGGTATGTACTGTAGTGTGATTGCTAACACTGAAATAGCTTGCTGATAAATGTAGCAGCATTAACCTTAGTTTGAAAAATATTCTGTGCCTACCTTTTGTGTGTAGGATTTTGTACCTTTAGGTTTCAAGGTTCCTTATGTTACTTCAGTGTTGCAACAGACTAGGCTAGCACTGCTGGTAGACTTTTACTCAAATTCAGTGATACTGTAACCCTTTCTTAGCTTAGGGTTTAATGAAGCTCTGAAAACCTGATCACCCTGTTAACCACTGTACATGTCATATTTACCTGTTGATTCACTTATTTCTACAGATGTGACAATGGATATATTGAAAGGGGAGGGGCGCCCTTTGACACTGTGTATGTATCGGGCCCAGGTTTTGTGCTACACCATTGTTCCTCATTCTCATCTGTGTTGTGTTCACGTGGAGCTTTTAGCAGCTCAAGAGTGAGAAATTTTGGTCGAGACCAATACAGAGATAAAAGGAGCGTGAATATTGGACTTTTATTCAGTGTCCAAAGACACGGCTCCACATAAAAGCTAATGGGAAAAATATTTTCAAACAAGTCCATAACTTCACTTTGGCAAATGATAACTTATCAATGTAGCCTCTACAGTTTTCTTTTTCTGCTGTCCCCATGTGGCCAAAAACAATAACTACTGCTTTAAATTTATTTAGAAATTAAATATCAAATTGGGATTATTATTTATTATTTATTATTATTTAATCCATGATGACATGCCATGTATGTTGTTAGAATGAGTTAAAGGATGTGATACAGATACTGAAATATATTTGATATTTGATAACCAAAATAATTAATCAGTATACTGTATGATTGAGGCCATCACTTTCGGGATCAATTGAGAAAATAGGAGTTACATCCTCTCACAGGAGAAGAGGCACACATGATTACACTGCCTGGCTTGGTTTCCATGAGGACATTCAGTGACGGTGCCATACTCCAGCCTCCATTTAGGCTGACGTAGTGCAGTCCGTATCCAAGTAGCCCGGACAACAGTGGAATCAAACATGTGAGGCTCATTAAAATCAAATTTCAATAAAAAAACGAGCCGCCACTTTTCCTTTTAGCCATTTTATCCACAGCGATCTGCTGGATGGCACCGCAAGTTCGTAATTTTCAAGTTTTCTGACAGTGTGTAAGGCTCTGTGTTACTTTTTATTAAAAGTGGTTTCCTCATTTTGAAAAGTCTTCATAAGCTGTGCCAGCGATTCTCTTTCAAGTTAAAGGAAGCCTTGAAAGATGCACTGTCGTCAAAAAAAAAAAAAAATGAAAAGAAAAATAGGCAAAGGAGAGAGAAAGCAGCAGACATTCAGCCTCATGTTTCACCAGTTGTCACTCATCACACTAAATAAATCTCCCTATCACTGCATAGATAATTGCTGTTAGTTTTATCTGGTGCAATCCATTTGATTGACTTAAATATTAAAATGATGGAGATATGAATATTTAATGTTTCTGGGCACAGGGTAACTCCAGGGGGTTTTCAGAGAGACTGATGGAAAAAACAGAGGAGGTGAAATGCCATTAATTAAAGTCATTTGGTATCTTATTGGCTGAGGAGAGGTGTGTGTGTGTGATGTGTGTGTGGAGGGGGTGGGGGGGTTGGGTTTAGAAAAATGACAGTCCAAGGTCAGCAGAGATCTGAAGCCACTTGCATACATTGCCACTGCACATAATGGGCCTTCATGAACGGGTAACTAAGGTGGGGAAATAATTCATGTAACTATTATACATCTACAGGGCAAGCATCAGTTTCAGAGAGCACAAGCCCTGCTACAGCGTCCTGGAGCAAGACACTGTAGGTCAACCAGGTCCTCTAGCTGAATCTGAACCCTGACCTTCCTGTGGAGGAGGCCTCCAGACAATGAATGCTCATTTACAATTAAAGGTTGGTGTTGCATTGTATATTTTATAGCAAAATACAATTACATCTCAGCTGTAAAGCTGCAAGACCAACTTCAAAGTGATAGTGTGGGTTAATTGACATGGGGTAGTGCATGGGAATACAGTAGTTCAATGGTGGATAAAAATGTAGTTGCAAAGGAAAGGGGCTGATTGGCGCCAAGATAAAGTGGTGAAAATATTCAAACAAAAGCGTATTCTTGAACTGATTGATGAAATTTTTTCTGTGTGCATTTTTTTTCTAAGTGGCTAAAACAGCTTTTTGCAGATGGCCTCGACCACAGCAGTTCATCACTCAGTTTCTGTGCTGGTGCTCCCGGCTGCTTCTCTAAACTGGGAGTGCACTGATCCAAATCTACTGCAGGTAATACACTGACTATAGATAACTACCTCACACAACCCCATGTCAAATAACCTGAACTATCACTTTAACAATTACTAGACCTTACAAAACGGACATCACAACTTGTCTATATGATCTGCACACTACCACATTTTAGAGTCTGGCTCTATTTTGTCTCTGCATCATTTCACTTTTTGCTGGTGACTGAAAAGGGTGTGAGTTGGTATTAAACCTTTGAACTCTAAGCCGTTTTTTTTTTTTGTTTGCTTTTTATTCCATTATTTATTATTTATTTTCAACTGCCATGTATTATTATTTTCAGAATACTACAGACTGGGCTAAAATGCCATCAGCTGGTACTACAGTACACAAGAACTGGGACAGTGAATACTTCACAGTGAATGCTAAAGTGTCCAGTCCATTCAATCCACACTGAATCTGACCTCTGTTCAGCAGTCACTGTCCTCACAACGAGCTGCCCTGTCAGCAGTGCAGCTCCTGAGGAGCTGAGACAACAAACTGTGTTCACCAGACTGACTAATGTCATAAATTTACCCGACAAAAATGTTTTTCAATTAG